TGTAGCCCTTTTTGTTAAGCAAATCTCAATAGGTTCAATATTTTCTGCCCAATTACAATGTGGAAAGGAACTTTGCCATTGTCAGAGGGTGTTTTGAAGGTAGAGCGATCCAGAGAAATCAAAATATAACCACAGTAAATTAACAGGCAAAGCTACTCAAATGTATCCTAAAGATGGCAAAGGAAAGCTGACAGCTGTCACAGCAGTGACAATGGAAAGCACCTGAAAAGCTCATTATGTTGTTGAAGGAATTACACTTTTAGCAGAAAGAAAGGCCAGGCATTGGACCACCTTATGGAAAATCTGTCCAGCTCTTCAGCTTCTGCTGTTGTATGCTTTCTTGTTGGCATGTTTGAAACGTTTCTTCTGTCCTCTAGGCTTTCACAATTACTCTGCCTCAGATAATCTGAACTACTCAACACACTCCTGACTCTATGGTGTATCTCCAACATGTGCTCTTGCATTAGGAGCCGGAAAATGAAGTCCCTGCTTCAACTCCCCTTGCCACTAAAAATCCTCAGTTGCTGGGGAGATCCTGTAATACAAGACACTATTTTTGGATGTAATAATGAAGAGTTTTACTGGATCTGGGCTATAGTTGCAGGTTTGCTGGGCAAAGGAAGGCACTGACACTGCTATGTTCTTATAGATAATTTCTTCTTTTCCTTGTCTGTGGCATTGAGACCTAGATTACTCACATGCAGATAGTTTATGGAAACCATGCTGGAAACTGAAACACTAAATATACGGACTTGTCACAAGCCTAGCTAAAAGAGACAACAGCCATAAAAAAAGATGCTTCTGAAGCAGAATGGTAGCAAATTCTCTTTTTTGCCCTATCTCTGCTCAGCCCATACCTGCAAGGCTGTGTACTCAGTTTGCTGCAAAACAATCACCTCCTGTCAGTCAGGAAAAAGGTAATAATGGCTGTCTCTCCTAGACCTACCTGTTCCCATCTGCACCCCTACATGCTCCTCTAGCACCAGCTCTGTTTTAAGGAGCTACCTACTGCAGCCTTGTCTTGCCACTGTGAAAATGTGCATCGGCCAGTGAAGGATAAAAACTTTAGGTGTTGGCTTTTCCAACTGCAACTGAATGTAATGTCATCACCAAGGGGCTAAGGAACTACACAAGGTGATAAGCAGGTCTGGGAGATCAGGAAGCCAGCTGCCTCCAGGCTATTGCAGGGAGGCAGAACAAACGATCACACCAGTAAAGGCAGGCTGCTGCTTTGCATGCCTGTAGGCTGAAGAGCTGACCCTGTAAAGAAGTCGGCTCATACAACAGTGTACCTGGTTTGCCAAGCACAGTGATAAAGAAGAATGCTGTAATTTTTTGTGCAGCCAAAGATGTGACACTAGGAAAAAACCTGAAATAAGCCTCTGGATTCAGATGAGAGAAGCAGTATAAAATGATCCAAATACAATTTTCCCCTCTGTCTCCTCTATCTGCAAACAAGCTTTTAAACTTCTTTGCCATGTACTGTAGAGAGCTTCCTAAGAGCGAATCATGACATTGCTGCAACGTTCATCTGGGTAAATGGCACGTTCATCCCATAGCCATCCTCTTGTGCTCAAACAGCAGACTCAACATGGTCAAGTGAGTTTCTTACCCAAAAGCTGTGTTTGCCAGTTTCCACTGGCAAGAGATGATGATCTAAAATGTGCATGATTAGAAAATGAGGGAGAGGGCGCAGCTGTGCCCCAGAATGGCCCATTCTCTTTGAAGAGTAAAGTGTTAAGGTGGCAGGACATTGCTTTAATGATTCTGCAACTTACTGGCTAAACTATAGCTCCTACCATAAAAAGTCACCTGAAATGTCACCTGCTAAAGGGTGTAGCCAGTTTTGACTGATACTCCAGACATTTGGCTTTAGTGACACACTCTTGGTAAGATTCCTGCATGGACAATGCATACTAGTTTCCAAAATTCAAGACATATTCGAGGAACTTACTTCTCCTGCCTCCCATTGCTTGCCTTCTGCTCTGGTTTCTTTTGCCTTACTGGCTGCTCCTTCTTTCAGCAGTTTAATTACATTTCTATATTTCCCTAGTTCTACATCATTGGTGCATTTAAAGGTCCAACTGAAATATATCTAATTCTGTACTCCCTACCTTGTGATTAGTGGTTGTACTGCAACTCACTTTTTTATTTCTAGTGAAAATGTTGTACTTCTGAGACTTCAGCAACACAGAAAGACCATGTTTCCTCTGCTGAGCTGCAATGAGCAACTGCTAAAACACTGTACTGCTTTATAAATTAAACATTGCTGTTGTAAAAAAAATGTAAAAAACATGAATTTTTCTAGAAAGGCAGATGCTGTTTATTCAGGCTATAACTAACCTTGTCTTTTTTTAACCAGAAGAGAGAGCACAAATATTCATGGCCATACTGTCTCTAGATATGAGGTTTCTAATCTTGGAAAAAACTTTAATTTTTCCCAACTTGCCTTCCTTCCTGACTGTTTACAATCTCAGATGAGATTTGCTGTTTGCAGCTGCCAGCCTGAAGATATGTCTTACATCATCTCAAGACCTTTGCTTCTCTATTATGAGCTTTGTTTTTAAAATACATTTCAAAAGCACAGTACAAGGTCATATGTATCCTAAGAGCAGCAGGAGAATGTTTAAAAATATATTAAAATTAAATAGATCACTTCTGCATCCTTCTGCCTTCTTTTTGAAATAAGTCTCCACCACTGAAAAGAAAAATGTAAGCAGATCTGGAAAAAAACCCAACATAAAATCTTTAAATCACATAAAAATGCTTTAAGTAACTAACTAAAAAGTGGTGTGTGTTCCTCTGCAACTGTTGTACCTCAAACATTTCCTAAACCTAAGGTTAAAGTCTTAGAACCTTGAAAGGGCACAGCTCTGGCTTTATGTGAGAAAAGATTAAACCAGTACATTTTCTACTGTAACTACTCTTAAAGCCTAAGACTCTGTAGGTAAATGCATGAATGAAATATATGATACTATTCTGTAGTTCACATAATGGCAGGCAGTCCTCTTCCATAAGATCTACCTTGTCTTATTCCCACATTGGAAACTGTAAACTACTCAGAAGCTTAGATCTAGTCCATGAAGAAGTCTCGGAAAGGCCTGTAACACCCCTGATTTAATGGAATCATTGAGGTTACTGACCACGAATCATCAGTGTTTCTGTTCAGGACTAAGATCTGCATTTGCAGCACCTGATATGCTTCACTAGTCTGTGCTTAGTTCTGTAACTCAACAGCCAAGCTTTAAAGTGCAGCTTTAAAGTAATTTCATTTTCTTGCAATTGCAGAAATTTCCCAATACCTGTCTTAGTAACTCCATGTGTGGTCACAAAAAAGATGCAGAAAAATTGGATGTAGTCTGAGGCAATTTGATTTGATGGATTAGGTGATGCCTGTGTCAAGAGTAGAGGACTAACCTCATTTTCAAGCCAATATTATGGCTTACACAAGAAAGACTGAAACAGAGATACGTCTGGAGCTGGGGAAATTAATCTGAAAGCTCTCATTTGCTTATTCAGAATGCTTTGAATAAAAGCAAGTATATGATTCCTGGACTTTTGCAGCTTGAATTGATTAAATTATTGATGCAGTGTTTATGATATGTTTTCTAGGAGAGAAAGAGCAGATTCAATTTGCATGAAGTCAAAAATCAATTTTACAGTGCCTCAGGCCAACCAATACAACAAAAAGTATTGTTCTTTGTTCAAAATATTTTTGGTAGAAATAATCTAGACAATGTTGGAAGAAGTGAGTCAGAAGCCGTACTCACAAAGTCAAAACTGTATGGTCATTAGTGTGAATGCACATTTTTATTGATGTAACAGATGGAGCTTAGCCTTTCCTGTCTGGAGGGACATACGTAATCTTTATCTACACAATTTATGAAAGCAAAATAAATGTTCAGTCCTCAAGTTCTTAAAATTACTTTTTCCAGTGGCACAATGCTGTATGAATTCAGTCATCTGAGACAAATTAACGGTGGGTAGTTTCAAAGCTACGTACTAGCAGTTAGGTCATGAGTATTAACCTGTAGACCATACAATCACACCTTCACTGGAGAACATGTCAAACGAAGAAGTGAAACTTGCGGTTGCCATCCTGTCCCCTACAGTGACTGTCAGGTGAGTAGGATGCCTGCTCCTGTGTCACCTGCAGCCATGTATTCTCTCTACAAACCAGGCTGCATGCATGTTTTCCTTACCATTACTTAAGGACAAATAAAATCAGAATAGTCCTATAAAATGACAGGACTTAAAATCTATAATGAAGATCCCTTCATTCCTCCTTGGGAGCTGGAGAGAGAGTGGGTGGAGGTAGTCCTGCTTCTACATTTTCCTTTGCCTCACCAAAAAGTACTAGGAAGTCTGTGCTATTTGCAGATGGGTTATCTACAACATAATTCATCTCGTCCCATGACAGTCCCCAAGCAGAAACAACACTGCAAATCAAATGCCTGAATACTTGTAAAGTGAATTCCACTGTTTCGATGCAGAAGTTAGGATGTTTCAAAAGATTTCTGTTCTGCTCCATTTGATTTAGCAGTCGTGGAGAATTTTGCCAGTAACGCCTTTGTAACTGCCATTCTGGCCTGTGAAGTATTTGCAAAGTTCTGCCTAGGATATAAGTGGTTTTGTCTTCATGCTATGTAGTTGTTTTGTTTGACCCAAATCACACAACTGATGAAAACAACTACATCCAAAGGGACTTCAGAACTGAAACCCAACCCTTAATCTGCACGTAGAAGCCACACCAAAATCCTTCACCTTCCTCCTCACCCTTGATCTTTGAAATCCCCCCACTACACTTTTACAGATATCTGAAGATCCTCTCTCACTGAATTTTCCTACTGAAGTGCTGTCAGATGGTGACTAATTGTAGTACAACTGGTGTTTTGCACACCGATTGCTTTCTGATTTCATTAGAAGCCATAAATTATGCAGCAGTGAGTTTTGACAGGGAAGAAGAAAAGGCTGAGTTAGTAACAACAGATGTGGTTTACCTTCGGGTCATGTATTCCAGAAAGCTCTTCATAGATCTTCTCTCCTACCATGACAGCAGCTAGGTTGGCTGTATATGTGGACAAACAAAACAGACAGAAAATAGCCCAGAGATTCATTAAAAACCTTCCAGTCCAGCACTTGGGGGGTTTGATGGCAGCTGTTCTTCCAAACAAGATTGCATAGCAGACATTCAGGGCAGAAGAGAAAGAGAAGACTTTGTTCCTATTCCTTCCCTTGGGGGTCATCCCAAAAGGACTTTTCCACTCATATAGGGTGAGGAATATAGCTGTGATGTGCAGAGCCACAAATATCCCCAGCCACATAGTCCAGTGAAGTGGCCACATAAAGGCTCCAATAGGAGCCGCTGTGTCTCTGGTCCTCACCAAGATCCCCAGGCTGGTTGAAAAGAAAGGGCTGGTGAAATCAATCACTTGACTGCGGGCAGTGTTAATGCTAAATGAGGTCACTGCCATGTGAGCCGTGCCAGCAAGAAGGTCTCCCACCAGCCCTGTCCAGTGACCATTCTTCCAGGCTCCGTATTTTCCATCACCAACAATGTACAAGTCAAAATCAAAATTCATATCCTCAGCTAGCTTCTCCAGCAGGTCAATGCAGTAGCCATAGCAGCACTTCTTCAGCTCAATGGGAACAGTGTCATTCCCTCCTTGAAGGGTTTCAAACAGGTTATCTAGCAGGGATGAATCATTGGTCAAAGGATCCAGGCACAGCTGCCCTGCCGGGCAAAGACCTTCATCATCTACATCTCTTGTAAATACGAATGGATGCTCAATGAGAGTTACCACTCTGAGGTGCAGCCGGGTGGGGTGTTGCATGTGATTTTTATGTCTCTGGGCCTGTTCTGGCCATATCCCATAGTCCATGATTATCTTTCCTTCTTGCCAGCTCCCTAGACGAGTCCACATAGGGTTCCCGACAGGGTCATGCTGCAGACTCCAGATGAAGAAGTTGTTTTCTGAGCTGACAATGGAGGAGCCTTTCACTTTAATGTGGCCACTGAGACCATCAAAAGTTGTGTTGGCTAAAAACCTGTTGGAGAGAGAAAGCAGAGTAATCAGAAACAGAGAACTGATGTACTCATGCTAAAGCATATGCAGACACCATGAATTTCTGTTTAAGAGAATAAATTTGGGCCCTTACTGAATACTTGAGTCATTAATCACTTTCCTCAGGCACGATGAACAAGCCACTTAATTTACGACTAAATAACTGGGGAATGCTCTCCTACATAACTGTCCTGGTTTTGCTGGGAGTGAATCACAGAATTCCATTTTCCATTCACTGAAGCTGCATTTCTGAGAGAACTGCCATGTTCACTTTAGTGAAAACAAGTTGGTATTATAGCTTTAGCTGGGATATTTTCCTCATAGTAGCTACTAAGACTTTTGTTTTGGTCTTGGCAGCAGTGTTTACACTAACTCAAAATCTTGTTTTCAGTCTTTTGCCTGCACCTGTGTCTGTAGTTTCTCTTCTTTTCCTTCCCCTTCTCTCTGCACAAGAAGATGGGGGGAAGTGAATGCCTGGGATTTTCTGGGACAGATGACCCATATGATCCAAGCTGATCAACAGAATGTATTTTATGCCGTAAATGTCACACTCACTATAAATAGGGGATTTTATGGGGACGAGCCTCTTTTCGGATGGTAGCTGTCTCGTCTAGCTCACTGAGATCCTGAGGCTGACCTCACCCACGCTGTGTTTTCGTTGGTGCACAGCCAGGAACTGCTGCTTGTGAGCTGAGAATAACTTTGACTGCATTATTATAATTGTTCCTATCCTTATTAAAATTCATTATTGTTGTTGTTATAATTATTACTATTATTATTATTTTTATTACACTTCAGTTTCATTTACTTTAATTACTAAATTATCTTTATTTCAACCAATGAGCTCTTTTACTTTTACTCTCGCAAGTCTCTCCTCCACCCCACCGAGGAGGTGGGATAGTGAGCGAGCAGCTGTGTGCTGTTTAGCTGCTTGCTGGGCTAAACCACAATAATATCTTATTTAATGTAAATGAAAACTCTTCAGAAAAGGTATTATTTTTACTTACTAAAAAAAAAAAGAGTGAGACAACACCAGTTTTTTCAGTTACCTTTGCCTCATAAATTAATGAAGCATAGGTTAGTTCTAAGCTAAACTCACCAGACCTGTTGCCAGTTTCCTAGATGAAATTATGTATGAAAATGGAAGGGTGGAAATTATGTGTAAAATGTCCTTCCAAGAAAAATAATCTCAGTCAGATCTAGCTTACATAAGAAAGGCTACTGAAGTGCTGTCAACAGCTTTCAACCACTCTGAAGCAAATCAATCTGGATTCAAAAACAGAAATTGTTAAATCACTGTTAAATCATTGGTAAATCACTATTAGCCACTTCAGAATGAAGAACGGGACTCAGTGAAAGATGGTTGACCAAGGACAGTCAGTTTTAACTCTTAAAAAAAATTTCTTAAAATATCTGTCTAAGTAATGTTCTTAAAGTGCAATTTTGACACTGTAGCAGATCTCATGAGGTATGCCAGTTTTGCACTGCACATTTGCATTGAGATTTTTGGGCTTCTACTTTTCCAGATATTCAAAATAAAGTATTTGCTTTGTACTGAATGGCAGCGTTTGCAAGTAGTTGTCCTCTCTGTATGTTGATTCAGCTTCTAGTAAATCATTATCAAAGAGGCTAAAATGATATGGATTAAGAAGCAGGGAACTGAGCAGGAAATAAGTACTGGAAGGAGAAAATCCTTTTTAGTGTAAACACCATGATCAGCAGAACTGCACTCTGTTAATAAGAAAGCTGCTATGCATTTACAGGCTTGGGGACGAGTGGCTGGAAAGCTCCCAGGCAGAAAAGGACCTGAGGGTGTTGGTGGACAGCAGGATGACCATGAGCCAGCAATGTGCCCTTGCGGCCAAGAAGGCCAATGGCATCCTGGGGTGCAACAGAAGGGGGGTGGGTCGAGAGAGGTTCTCCTCCCTTTCTATTCTGCCCTGG